AAAAAAAAAAAAAAAAAAAAATGTTTGAGCATAAAAAATACATTAAGTTTTTAGCAAAAAATTTAATTGCAAAAGAGTTGAAAAACTTATCTTTGCCCAAGTCAGCCCATAAACGTAGAGGTGGGCCTAATAAATTGACAATACATCGTTTTAAATATTATGTTTGCTTCCAGAATTCACGAGAGACAATGATTAATCATCTCCTGATCGCCGTAGCCGTTCTTTCGCTCTCCAAGCTATCATCACAGGTAAAAAAAAAAAAAAAATTAATGCACGATAAAATAGCAAATCTTTTAGCATAAAAACAAACTTTCACGAATATTATATTTGTTTGGAAACAATGGATTCACAATATGTTTTTATTAAAACTTATTTACGGTGATTGTTCGTGACGCACCAGATATCCACCAAAGATGACCCAAGCTACATCGGAGCAGTGGTAGAGTACCACCCGATCACCGACGGCGACGACGGCCAAATCATAGCCGAAGCCAACGTCAACAATTACCGGACCATCATAAGAACCGCAGCGAGTTATGTGCGTATAAATCCGACTTAAACAAAAAAAAAAAAAAAAAAAAAAAAAAACAAGACTTTTGCTTTTTTTTCGTTGCTCGAGCCAATAAACAATTTTTTCCTTCCAGGCCGTCGACATAATTGTCTTCCCCGAATTCGGAGTGACGTCCATACCGAGCGTCAACGCTAGAGGAAAGGCTTTCAACGCCAGCGATTACCGGGCCTACTACCGAACCGCGGCATCATTGATCCCGGATCCCAAAGCTAATGAAATACCTTGCGATGCAGCTACATTGTATGCTCAGGTTCGATCATTTTTCCATTGTATTGTCCATTCCGGTATACCCTGACAATGGGCACGATTATTTGAAACAACAAAATCGAGGTATTTTATTTTTTAAGGAAATTTATACCATTTTGTAAACATTAGTGCAATAAATATTTTCAGAGAGTAAAGCTTACTACAAAGTATTCGAGCTAAAATGTTACAAGTGGTGATGATAAAGGAATTATTAGTAAATACATCTCGTGAAAGTTCTCTAGAAAAGCTCGTACATTATCGTAATTTTTGCAAAAACGAGCAAAAAGTGATGAAAATTACCTTACACCCACACAGTCCCTGAAGGAAATATCATGCGCCGCCCGCGAGTACAGCATGTACGTGGTAGTGAACCATCACGAGCGCGTCGAGTGCCCGTCGCGCAACTGTTCGCCGGACGGCTTTCTCCTGTACAACACCAACGTCGCGTTCGACCGGCAAGGCCGGCTGATCGCGCGCTACCGGAAGTACAACCTGCTCGAGATCGGCACTAACGCGACCCGCGAACCCGTGGTCTCCACCTTCAGTACGGACTTTGGCGTGACCTTCGGCCAACTCGTCGGCTTCGATCTGCTCAAGGAGAGCCCGGCCGTCCCAATGATCGGTAACCCCAACGTTACCGATCTCGTGCTCTCGTCGAGGCTCTACAACGAGCAGCCCTTCCTCGACTCGGTCCAACGGCACGCGGCTTGGGCCTACGCCGCCGATGTCAACCTCTTGGCTGCAGCCTACAACTCGGACCTCAAAGGCAGCGGAGGTACGTTTCACCCATTCATACCGATATTCCGGCTATACTGTATAGTATACGTTTCAAACTATATGGTTTTTCATAAAATGACAATTTTTCAAGCCATTTTCTATTTGTTTTTTTTTTTTTTTTTCCATTAATCATTGTTTTTCCTACATCCACACTGTTGTTTTATATTTTACAAACGTGCAGTTCAAAAGATTTCAATCATGTACATAATTTCTGAAATCTCTTTTTTTGTTTTTCTCTCCCCTGATTCGTTGGGCGAACCACACACAAATCTACTGCAGGTAGCGGTATCTACGCGGGAAAACGCGGCCAGCTGCGCGTCTACCACCCAGGGGTGCCCTCGAACGCCCTGGTCGTCGCCGAGATACCAAAGTTGTCCGGAACCCGCGCGGGGATTCCCCGGCAGGGCCGATCGAGCCTCCACGTGTTCAAGCAGGCCGAGGTGCCCACCATCTCGAGCTCCTCGGCCGCAGTGCCCAAGAGCGAGCAGAACCACACCCACGAGGATTTGGCCGCCTACACGAGCCTCCCCGTGGATCCCAAGCAGAGCCCCCACATCGTGACCTTGTGCGACAACGGGTTGTGCTGCGAATTCCACGTGGAGACCAAATTCGACGAGGATTTGGCGAAGAAGCAGGACGGATCGGTATACTACAGGTATACTCGGTTGTTGTGGGTTTTAGCCAAATGTTCCAGAGATGTTTTTACGTTGAACAACTTCCAGGTACCGATTCGCCGTGTTCAGCGGCGTGCGCCAGTTCGCGGCCGATCAGACGCTCGGTGTGGAGGTTTGCTCGATCGTCTCGTGCGCCGGTGACGAGATCGATAAGTGCGGCCGGCTGTACCCCGAGGGTGCGAGGGTGGTCGAGCCCACGGTCTTTTTGGCGCTGTACGTGACGCGCCGGGCCGATTTGGGGACCCGGAGCTTTTACTCGCCAACGACCGCTACGAGGGAGCTCTTGCCGATCAACACCACCGATTTTGGCTTCGCGATCGGCGGACCGGAGAGCAACAGTCTGCTGTTGGCTTACCTGTCGAGGCCCACGGGCAACGTGGCTGCTTTTGGTATCTACGGGCGGAGGTTCGATTGGGACGGGCAGCCGCCTACGAGACCGTCGTCGGCTGGTACTTCCGTGGCTCCTTCGGTTGTCGTTGTCGCGATGATGCTACTGGCGGTGACCACTCGGTGTTTTGAGAGATATTGAAAAAAAAAAAAAAAGAGAGATTATTCGTTTTTTATACATTGTTTTTTATGTACCGTTTAGAGATGTTTGTAATAATATTCCCGTTGGCGATGGGAGTCTCAGCCGGAAAATTTCGATACTTTCGGTCAATATTACGCGTGGCTAATTAATAATTTTAATTCCAATGATTATTAATTTTAACAAAATAAGTTTACTTGCATTTTGATAAAACAAGTTGATTCGTAACTTTAACGAGTTGGTCGTTTACTGTAAAATTTCAAAATACTGAGGGCCCTATATTTCTTTGAAACAAAANAATAATAAAAATTTTCGTTTAATAATTTGAAAATGTTAGTTCCTGGTAGACACTTATTAATTAACTATTCACCAACATGTAGCAATAATAAAACTGTTTGATGACAAAAAAATGCATTTTAAATTAAAATTAGTGCTCTAAATACCACTTGGATTTTTAAAAATTTTGATGATAAACTTGAAGTTGAAGTACACTACTTGAATTTTTTTTTTCATTTTTCAAGTTCCTAAGTATTGGTGAAATATCAATGATTTTCATTAGCAGTATAAAGTATTGACGTCCTCGATCTCGAGATTGAGTATGCCCCCCCAGGTGTTGCGCATGGCTTGGACGGCCTCCCTCTCGTCCTCCGTGAACTCGATGCTGCGGGTGCCATTTTCCATCGACTTGGCGCCGTACTTGCTGGCACTGATGGTCCGCGTGCCCAGCTTGAGCACCTCCACGTTCACCCAATTGCCGTCCTCGGCCTGGATCAGGAGACCAGCCCCGTGCACCACGCCCGGCCGCCCGTTCACGTCCACCCTGTCACCTTCCGGTACATCCTTACCTGTCCCACACACGCGCGCACGCTTAATTACTTCGTGATAAAAATATATGGTGTATAGTGCATCTTTTGATCCATCCCGGTAATCAATACAACGTACGGTGAGAAGCAACTATTTTTTGTCTCTCTTACCGATAACTTTGTTTTTACCCTTTGATTGGGCATCGAGTTGCGCTAGCTTGAGAAAATTAAAAATTTAAAAAAAAAAAAAACGCAACGAAAAGTACGGGTGCAATAAAATATCTCCGTCACGCAGGTATTTTGTTGCGATGGGAGGGGTAAAAATCGCACCCTCGAACAAGCTGCTTTTGTAGAGCTTGGCCTCCTCGTTGTTGACGAGGGTCCACGCGCCGGGGGTCGAGTCGAGGGCGCGTATGAAGTTGTGGACCTGCCGGGCGGATTTTCCGGCCCACTTGATCTCCTGGAGGTCCTTTTTGTTGAGCATGGGGTCGTACGACGCGCCCTCGTCGGGTTGGGCCACGGCGGGTGCTTTGCCCTCGGCCACGAGGTCGACCGCCTTGGCCATGGCAGCTACGCCCTCGGGGAACATAAAGTCCTTGTAGAGGCTGTCGAGGGTGTCGTTCGGCTTGACGGGACAGCTGCGCTGGAGGAGGATCGGTCCCGTGTCCAGTCCGTCGTCGGCCCAGAATACCGAGAACCCGGCGACCTTGTCGTCCTCGATCAGGGTCCTGGGGACGAGAAAACTCATGGTTGCATACTTTTTGACTTCGGTTGTCACGCGTGGATGGGAGATTTAGATGGGTATCTTGAAATAAACCGGTTGGTTGGTCGCTTTCGAGAGAAATCGCGTGGATTCGACGATTTCTTGCTTACGTTTTTGCAAAAGCTTTCACTTTGAGTTGAACAAAAAACAACAACAATAATTACGTTTAAAGATAACATGGGAAAAAAGTGTTGAGAGTTGTCCACACCGTCTGATAAATGGGTTAAAAAATCAGCTCTTTTTTGATTATTTTTCAATTTCAGCTTTTTTCTATTTTTTTTTTTTTTCTTTTTTTATTTCAAGTTCTAAGATTCCTAGNTTTTTTTTTTTTTTTTTTTTTTTTTTTTTTTTTTTTTTTTTTTTTTTCATTTAAATCCGAGCGTTACACTACCTCACTATGTTTGCCTGCTTCAGTAGATTCTCGGCAAGCTCAATTAGCCGATTGTTCAGGAGCTCCTTTAAATTTCTCGAAAACAAAAAGTCCAAATGGCTGAACCTCGTATCGGATATACTTTCCATAGCCACGACGTTCGACAGCTTTTTCGACAATTCAATGGTATTCTGCAAAAACAATGTATTCATGTTATATACGTAACGTTAAGATTTGATATGTAAAACATTTACACGTACCCCCGGAGCCGAAATGGCATCGCCTTTGCCGTAAAACAAGGCCACTGGTGCCACAACGTTGCTCAAGTTGTAGGAGGGGGCGTCTCGTTGCTTGTACCTCAAAAAGTTCTCTTTCGCTCCGTAGTCGTACATTTTAAAATCACCTTGGGAAATTAATCGTAACACGTACACGTTTGATGCACCGTGGACATTTTGATCGAATAACATTTTTTGTTCATCTCACCTGTGTTCAAATTCTGGCTGTAGTGAATCAGCGTTTTAACCGAACCTCCGGCGGGGAAGAAGGAAAACAGGTGCGGCAACGCGCTCTGTCGAAGACAACGCGGATTTGAAAAAAAAAAAAAAAATCTTGTTTACGCGCCTCGATGATTTTATTCAGTCTTTGAATACACTCATCGGATTGTTTACTCACGGCGTTCAACTGGTGGGGGTTGTAGCCGGCCGTGTAGTAAATGAAGTTTACGCAGATCTCCTGGAATATGCTCTGGTCCCTGCAGGCGATTTTTCCGAAATGCGTGCTCGCGGCCGTCAATGGGAAGATCTCGTTGATTTTCGCGTTTAACACAAAATTCTGTAAATCACAGTATGATCAAAATTACTGACCGGGAAGGTGGGTTCGTGCAGTTTGGTTTCACTATCCCGAGAAACTCAAACTGATCCCAACGTATGCTTTTATTACTTTATGAATTGGGAGTAATAAATGTAAAAAAAATTAGCGATCAAATATTTCGAGCACAAAGTCTTGGACCTCAAGTAACGTTTAAATAAAAGATACAATTTAATTGAAAATACAACTTTTTAAAACGTTATCTCTTTAAAATTGTACAAGTTTTCAGTAGGTAATTTTTCGTTGATCCTTTAACGGGGAAAAAAAAACTGGGTGACCAAAAATCTGAAAATGTTTGGCTTTGTTTTGTAAATCTTGGAGTACCATTGTAATACTTGAGTTTCTCAATGAAATAAAGGGGCTGTGCATTCGGAAGTAAAAAAAAAAAAAATTTATCCGTCTTTGGCACATACAACATTGAAAAGGTAAACAAAAAGTTTGTCCTCGATTTTGTTAAATATTTACCAGTCGTTAAAAATCATCGAGGGACTAATAAAGTCCTTGAACGATTTATAAAGATTTTCAAAGTCACTTGAAGACCTTTAAAGTCATTCAATGCAGGGTAATCGGTTGTGAGATTAATCATGCACAAATAATTACGTCACTTTTATAGCAGCAGTGTTGTACTGGAGAAGCCGTATAAATGGCCCAGGCGATGAGTGCCAAAAAGCCACTGGGGCCAAACTTATCACTAGTTTGACTTTTTTATTGTACTCGGGTTTGGTGGACAGTAGAACGTAACTGATACTCGTACCCATCGAGTGGCCCACGTAAATCAACGAGGGCTGCTGCGTTTCCTTTAATATGTAGTCGATCGATGCCGGCATGTCGAACAAAGCGATCTCGTGGTAACTGTTTTGCCAGGCAATAAAAAAATATAGTTTGACCATGAAAATCATATTTACTGTAAATTAAAACTAAATAATACCCAATCAGTTAAATGCTGATTATTAATAGAGATGATATTTTGCTTACAATAAAACAACAACAAAAAATTAGTTATACTTTTGCGGAAACTGTGAATCATTAAAATAACAACATTTTTCATCATGAGTTATAAATTCTTAAAAAACTGAAACAAAAGTGAAATTTATTATCACCTTGGTGCATTGATAACATTGTATTTGAGCATCGATGAAAAAGAAGAAGAAAAGCGTAAAATTGTTCAAATATTATGCAACGCAAATAAACTCTTTATACTCTTTGACAAGAAAAAAAAAAAAAAAAAAAAAAAAAAAAAAAAAAAAAAAAAAAAAAAA